AGTTTGCTCTGCAGATCTTTAAGATCCTCTAAACTGTAAGTTTCTTTTTGCATGCCTTTCACATTTTCTGGTGGTACTCTTAGACTTATCACGGTATTRATGTTAATTTCCTCGCCTTTTSCATGGCAACCAATGGTTAATGTTCCATGTTTCATTATAGTTTCTACTTGCTGTAGAGAAGACATTGTCACGGATCCATGGAATTCCAAAACATTCTTCAGCCATTCAAGTCTTCTACTTGTGTCATTCTTAAAGATGAATCGAGAATTAAGAGAAATCATAAAAATAGTCAGTTGGGCGTAATGCTTTYACATTTCAGACCACGTGTCATTCTCTTGAGTCTAAGATTCTTTGTTCTAGTTGTGTCTATCTATGTGTCATGTKTCTTCTCGTGCGCAACCGTTAAACAAAGAAAAGATACTCAAGTGAATTTCATGTGGTCTGAAATGGGAAATTCTACATGCAAGGTAAAGAGTTCTATTTGGAACAGCTGTCTCGCTTATCGACTATTATATGATTATATGACTGTTGTGATTAACAATAATTCAATGGTGTTTACAGATCATACCATTTGYAATGGCAGCCTTGGGTTGTGTTCCAAGTCATCCCAAACGTCACTACATAACTCAACTAGACGTTCAAAGCCATCATCTTCTTCAAGGTCATAAATGAGTGGTTTAAAGCCTCTTGTACACGTGTGAAGGGCAGCGATACGGTCACTTTCCATGTCACCTTCACCAGCTGACATCATGGCAAGATCTACCAACACCTTGATTTCACTTGGATCTGAATATCAAAAATGGATTTATAGTTGATCGATGCCTAGAAAATAGTCTTAACCAATCAGCTCACTGGTAACTGAACTGATGTTCTCCAAATATGTTATTCGAGGACTTAAGATTTGCAAAATCTACGAGGGTGACGTCAGCCGGAAGTGTAAATAACTTCCCTTTGGGGTTTCGCGCCTTCCAAGTCTATCTTTCCCGTAGATGAGTTGAATTTACTGACAATGTATTGGATGAAATCTCTAATGAACAGAGCCCCAAAGAAAAATTATTTACACTTCCGGTTAACGTCGCCGTCGTAGATTTTGCAAGTCTTCTATTATTTACCTGGTACGGCTTTCTTTAACCATACGATGAAGTCCTTAGATTCCATCACAGCATCTAGACATTGTAGTCTCTCAGGAGTGAATTCTCCTAGGATTCCCCCTGTCTGGTTAAATTCTTCTTGTAAAGATTTCAGCGGCTGTCTCTTTGACTCTGGACTTATCTACATGAGCAAATAGAAAAGTAAACGACTATTAATTCATCTATATATCTTCTACTTCATGCAACAAAGAAATTTGGTTGCGCACGGAATAGTAATACGGGCAACAATCGCTTTGCAACTTCTAATGAGACAATGTTGCGTGACAAACTGCACGACTTTGTTGCCAGTTTTACCGCACTTCTGCTAGCGGCATTCAGTTGAAAAATACCTGAAGCCGAAATGTGTCAACCATATCGAAATCGCCTCTTAAATTCATTTTCTCAGCAAATTCAAGAATCTTATCAGCAGCTGCTATATAGTTGGTCAGCCTGTGGTACTGCCGGATCTGATTCACTTGTTTCTTTATTCGTCCAGCATCAACAGTAGCACTGCAAGCATCCATGATGACAAGTTCTTGCTCAAGTTCAGCGTAGCGATCTTTGAAACCTTCAAAACGCTTGTCAACATCACCGAGGGTTATATTTCCGGTCAACACCGCTTGTAGTATGTCTTTGCATTTCTTGAAAGTCGGAGTCCAAACTTGTTTGACGACTTCTTCCAGTGTTAATTGTTCGTCAGGTTGCGAATCTACAATTTTCTCTCTCCAGATATTATTGAAAATTCTGCTGTTATGAATGGTGTGCATCGTTGTTATCATTGTTTTTAACTCTTTTGAAAGACCAAAAAAGGTGACTTGTACTTGTGCTTCACCATATCTTTTACCACAAGTGTGCACAGCAAGATCGCTAATATCATCCTTGGATACATCAGCATTAACCCTCTCTTTCATATCATCTACATCAACTATAAAAATAAAAAATGAAAAAATGAGGCCATGTCCACACTATGCCGGATAAATTTTTATCCGGATAAATTGGTATGAAAACGAATGAAGTGTTTTGCGTCGTCCACACTAATACGATCTTAGCCGCAAAATCATCAAAAAAACACCTCTCCGTATGTGCTTCGTCTTGTTTAGGGATCATATTAAGCCTATAAACGCCTGAAAAATTTATAAACATAGTCGAAATAAAGAGAACTTGACATAAAAAGGCAATGCGATAAACCTCTCGTTGCTAGATATCAAAGTTAAGCGATGACCTCTGGGGTCTCGGGTTCGATTCCTGGACTTCCTGATTCAAGGGGATTTTTTCTAAGTTTTCCTCTCTCAGCACTGTAAACCTAACACGCTACATTCCAATTCAATTTGTTGGTTAGCTCTGCCCTGACCTTGATAAGCCCAGTGGTTGTTTCAGGGGGTCGATCTGTTAGTTAGCCGTACCCTGACTTAGAGGCTGTTTCAGAGTAACGATAAAAATTAAAGGTTTGCGTTTTTTGTGAGATTAAAATGAATAAATACCATGCTCTAAGATGGAACTTATGCCCAGAAAAGAGCGTAGTTGTTCTCTTTCTTGTTCAAATGCCGCCAGCTCATCAAGTCGTGTCTGCAGAGTAGCTCGGGCTTTTTTGTAAATCCTCCCAAAATCTTTATTGGTATCATCTTGTTCGTCATCTTCTTCGCTTTCTTCGTCACTATCTTCATCACTATCTTCATCACTGTCGCCAATAGAATATCTCATTATCTCTAAGAGTTCGCAGTACTTATCCTCTTTGCCTCTAAGGATGCGCAGAGTGTTTACTGTGACTGAGGCATCGGATACCATACGGTGGATATCCTCGAGACAACTAGTGGTACGTGTTAGAAGTAACTGTGATTCGTCGGGTAGAGTAAGGGAATTCTCACCTGTGAAAAACCAAGATGACATTCAGTGGCATCAGAATATTGTAATGAACTGAAACTCCCCTTTAACTGGAATTTTTCTAATATCGTCATATCGAAGACATGTAAATAGTATTGTTATATACCAAGATGGTCAAAGTCCATTTCTTCTCTCTTTTCATTCATTGTCCAAAAGTGTGCCACCGGAACATCGGGAAAGCAGTGTATTTCGTGGTCCAAAGACAACCGGTTTCCCGTGGCAAAACCAGTCCCAGTAAAAAAAGTGTTAAACAGTATATCTTTGTGTTATTCACTTACTAAAATATCGCAGATAATTCGCCATTGGACTCCATGTTAATACATGAGTCAAGAGGCTGCCTTGTTGCTCAGTGTCTTTTGGCCAGCAACGATTGAGTAAAAGTGACATCATGTCACCAACTCGTCTGGATTGAATGCTGTTTGGGTCGTGCTGGGTGAGACTAGCAAAAGCTTTTGCATGTTCGGCCTCTCTTCCAGCCTAACAAGCATAAAGAAAAGACAAATTATAGCAAGAAAGAAAAAAGATCTTTATTATTTTATTTCATAAATATATACTTCTATGATTCTTGTGATAGCATCAAAGGCTGCTTCTTGGAAACATTTCTCAACCTCTTTGTGCAAATGGTTCAGGTTCACAGTTGAATAGAAATCGATCTTTTGCATATCATCCATCTGCGTATGACACAAGAAAACACCTTAGTATATACATAACTTGATGTAACTTAAGCTTTTAAAGTTTACCTTGTCAGCACGAGCTTTAAGACTTTCCATTAATTTTGTTTGCCAAGATGTTTGCAGCACTTCATCTAAAAACTCGACACTCAAAAACGCAGACCAAATCTAGGTGGAAAAAAAGCAGCAATATTTAAAGCATTTTGCAATCAAAACTGGACTAAAGACCGTTCAAGTAAGCGTACCTTGAGTTCTTCATTTCTGTAATAATCGGCCGCGCGAATAAGATTACTGGAAAATGATTTACTGAGACGGTTTTGTACTTTTTCTGTCGCTTCCTTCAAAATTCTTGCACAAAATGCGTTATTGCTTTCAGCTTGATCCGATGTTGAACCAGAAGACTTGATTGCCCATAGACACTTGGACAACAAGTGAAGTACTTTGCATGCCAATTGAAACACATCTTTTAATGGTATGAGAAGACACTCAAGAACTGGTAGTGATCCTTTTGCCAAAGAAGTCAACTCATCTAGGCTGCCGTAAACACTAAAGCAAAATAGATAGTAAAACGTCAGTTGAGTTCCATATTAACTCTTTTCAGACTGAGCCAAAATGAGGTAGGTATTAGAGTATATTCTTTATTAATTCTTCATAAATCTATTACGAAAAAAACCACTTAAATGAAATGATGATTTCGCATCATTAAGTCACCGAACACACCAAGGCTCAAAATCACGTCAAAACAAAAATAGTAATTTCAAATTAACGTTAATTAACTATATACTTACGACTCGTCTTTATTTTCAGAATCCAAGTACCCAGAATTCATCATGACGTCGAGGCAAGTATTGATTGATGTTAGCTGTATATAAGATTGAAAAATGTTGACAACACAGGCAACATCAGTCTTAGATTTCCGATTGGCATCCATCAAGTATGCACTTTTTAGAGTTCTTGCCGTTTTATGAGGATAGAGTAAGGTAAAGCAGGGTAGTGTACGACTAACTTAGTTTACTGTTTCATTGAAAAGTCCGCAAGAAGGGCAATGGAAAACGTACAGTGTAACATTGTAACACAGTGTAACAAAATATCAAAACGAAGGAAATATTAATAGGCGTTAAAACTATATCCTAGCTACCTCCTCCTGGTTATAGTACTTTATGTTTTGTAGTCTGTAAGCCAGCGTCCAGTTCACTTCATATGGAAGAAACGCTCCTTGAACGACACAGCGACCCAGGTTACTCAAAGGTAAAGCAAACAGAAACGTCCTTCTAAGCAGGGGATCGACCTCGAACATCGGCTTCAGTCGAGATAAAAACCCAATAGGTGACCTAAAATCAAAGAGAAAACTAAAATCTTGCACTTTAGTTTTACGGCCATAACACAAATTTGGCTGACCTACCTCCATGGTAACGTTTGGATTTGTGTAACATCTAGTCCATTGGTTCCCCAGTATGAGGCATCTCGTAGAGTCGGTTCAGATAAAGGAGCAGCATCTGTATAAGGCTGAGATTCATCAGACATGAAATGCATCAAGGGAACTGCTAGAAGCCACTGGTGGACATCTGGATAATGATTGATGGCATACTGACAAAGTTCAGAAATTGCCCCAGAAAATCTCCTACAAAAAAATCAACTGATGCTAGCAAGTGTGCGAGAAGATAGTAAAATGTATTAAACGCTGGCCAAGAACATTACTCACATCCAGTTTTTCCTTGGATAGTGTTGGGCTAATATCTCCATTATCCTCTCTATCCTCTGCCTTCCAAGAGTTGAATTTAGAGCCAAGCATTCAAACATCGCTACCAAGTGTCCTTGCGTTGGATGAAAGGATAACTTTCTGATAAAGGTGGACGCAACTGCAACAATGGTAAGAGATGTTGCGAGTCGGTTTGCCTGGACGTTTTCATCGTTCGTAGACTGTGCCAGTTCATAATTCTTCTTTAATCTTGGTTCGACGTAAGATAGTATAACCTAAAACAGGACATTTGGAGCATTTGAAAGTACTGCTATTTGGTTTTTTGATTGCAGACGGAACGGACTGAAAATTCAACAGGCCTCCACAGGAATACAAGTTGAGAGCGTTTTACCTTTTTTCGCCTAGAAATTGGTACATTCGGATAAAAGTGTCAAAATAATATCAAGTATAAATAGACTGATACATACCTGATCCAAAGAAAAACCGTTGAGGATGCGAAGCATTGTTCTTCCATATAGTTCAGCTTCTAAGTATTCCATACAGTGTATCACTTGGTTTATTGTTCCTAGTACCTCTTTGCCTTTTCTTTTACCCAATGTCTCATCTAAGCCAAAAGATTCCCAATCAGGCAGCACAGCTTCTATAGCTAATTCGCGTCCCTCATAGGGGTCCATGCCTTTCCAGTAAGGTAGTTTATTGCGAACAGATTCCCAAAACTTAGGCTGACTGAAGACTGCATCATCGTATTGGTGCCATACGCCTAATAATAATAACCACATAAAGTATAAGCGAGTAATAAAATAATATAAAATACAAAGTAAGCTTAGATCGCTGATGATCATGGGAAACATGTCATATCAAACCAGCTAGAGAATGATCACATGAGGAGAAACTGTAACTCGTAAAAGATCTCAAGTTCATCAATATTAGTTCAGCATCAAGCGGTTGAAACATGTAAAAGGTATTTATTGATTCTTCTTCTTGAAGGTCTCATCTTTGTAGCTTTTCAGGTAACTAACTTCAGTATTAAAATAAAAATAAATTAAGAGGCGACCTTAAGATTCTATCAAGTCCCTAGAAATTGAGAGCTAGATTAGAAATAGCGCGTTAGCATTCTCCCGTAGAGCTTCCTTTTATTCAATCTGACTTACCCTTTGGCTTTCTATATTGTTCTGGGATAGAAAAGCAGCGATTGACGTGGGCTTTATTGTTGGAATGACAGTCAATCAGTTCTTCCCACATCTCGTTGTTATCATTTTTTTTTAAAACAAGATACTTGTAATTGATTTTTTCCCTTGCATTTTTAAGCAGAATGGTAGTAGTTCCTTCTATAACAATGTAACCATCAGGAAGTGGTCTGGAAGAAAATTAATTTGTTTTGATATTCTGGGGTTTCTTTCATCTTTTCCTAGTTGACTTTGAGTTGAATTTAAATGAATTTGCAAACGGATAGGGAGGTTTTTGTATGATAGACAAACGTACGGTACGAACATACAGGACTTGTACACGGTACGTTACGTCATAACACTGAAATGACTTAAATTGGCCACTTAAGAAACGAGCAAGAGACTGGCGAAAAGACTGGCTTTCACAGACTCTCTAATAATGAGGTGCTTTATCGGTGCTTTTTTGCTAATTAGATTAAAATTCAAAACTTGCCTAGTCCTTTGCTCATTTCTAAAGTTGGCCGATTGTTTTCGTGCATTTCATCCAATAACAAGGTGTACCATACCTTTGAATGCCATATCAAACCCCCTCTTTTTCTAAACTAAGCGATGAAATGCTAGGTTAAAAACGATTTCTTTTAAAAAGCTCGCTACTTTCTAATGAACACAATGCATGTCATTCTGCCTCATTAAGCATCAAATTTTGTGGGGAGCTTTCATGAGTTCATACCAAATTCCATGAAAAGGAGAAATTTTCAACTATTCTTGAAAAGCTCTCTTAAAGTTAAGAATAAAAGAACCAGTAAATACCTAATAGGTGTCATCTGTAAATGATCTTTTTTCCATCCACTGAAATTTGGGAATCCACCACGGACAACAACTATGTCTTCGTCTGGGTCAAACTGGAAGTGAGGAGCCAACAAGGCGTGTAGTACTATTGTCATGTAATTATCATCTGAACTTGATCTACCGTCACCAGTGGAGGCTTGAAAACTAAATTAATGTTAATAGTATCAGATCACATGTATGTTATCAGTGGCGGATCCAGGGGTAGTGCGACGGGGTCCGCTGCACCCGTTTTTTTTTTCAATTTTTTTCAATTTTTTTTTTTTTTTTTAATATTTTTTGGTTTGAATTTTTGGATATCAAGGAAAAAATATTTTGTAAAT